GTGGGGGAGGAGTTTGGACAGAGGAACTTACATAATACCTTGGTAATTCATAAAGAGAGCAAAATAGATGCCCAGGAAAACAAACTAGACACATTTGCCTATTAGATTTATTGATATTGAGGGGGCACCTGGGTGGCTCAGACGCTTAAGCATCAGACTCCTAGTTTTGGCTCAGGTCATGATTTCTGGGTTGTGGGATAAAGCCCTGCCTCAAGCTCTGCACTCAGCAGGAGTCTGCTTGAGATTTTCTCTCTCCCTCTGCCCATGCCCCACCCCTGCACACACATGTGCATGCACTCTTTCTCTAAAATAGATAAATAAATAGTTTAAAAAAGGATTTATTGATATTTTTTGTTTTTCTCATTCTAAGCATTGGTAAAAATTCATGGGAAAAGAGGAACTCTCATTACTCTTGGCAGGGTTGTAAACTGGCACTATGCTTCTGAAGGATAATCTGACATGAGAAATTATGTGGAGCTACTCACCCAAGGGATCTGGTATGACAGACCACAAAATATTAATAGTGAAGAGTCAGGATTTTTTTTTTTTTAAGATTTTGTTTGTTTATTTACTTATTTAGAGAAAGAGAGCAGGAGTGTGAATGGGGGGCGAGGGGCAGAGAGAGAATCTCAACAGACTCCCCAATAAGTACAAAGCCCCACATGGGGCTCCCTGTGGGGCCCGATCCCACAACCCTGAGATCATAACCCCAGCTGAAATCAACAGCTGGTAGCTTAACCGACTGAGCCACCCAGGTGCCCCTAGGATTTTTATCTTTTACAAGTTTCAGAAATATCTGGGTTTCCACAATAAGTACTTTCAGCATAAAAATTTAATATTTATTAACAGTTAACATGGGGAAAAAAGTAAGATACAAATAATTACTTCAAAGGTCACTCATCTTCTAGATCTGCATTGTCCAATAAAATAGTCTCATGAGACTACTAAGCACTTGATGTGTGCCTATTCTAATTGAGATATGCTGAAAGTATAAAAACACACCAGATTTGGAAGATTTAGTATGAAAAAAGAATTTAAATAATTAATGTTAATGTTTTTATGTTGATCATACATTGAAGTAATTTTTGATATCCTGGATTAAATAAAATGTACTATTAAAATGAATTTCACTTGTTACTTTTTACTTTTTTTCACATATATAGCTCACATTGTATTTCCATTGGACAGTGTTCCAGACAAAGAGAGGACAGGGAAGCAAATGTAATAATCGGACATTATTCTTCACTTTAGTTAATATATTTCTATTTATAAATGGATTTTTCTCATGCAGTTACTTTCAGAATCTTTCTACCAAACATTAAATCAAAAACAAATCACATTTTTAAAAGGAAGAAATTAAAAGGGATACTACATTCAAAAGATCCAAATGCCTTGTGTTTTATTTGGAAGTCACATCTCCGGAAGATTGCACAACCTGGGAGAGGACAAAGGACTTTGCTTTGCTTGAAACTTAAACAAGACTTCTAAATGTCTTAAAACTCTATGTAGCTAAAAAGCTTTGTATATTAGTTCTTAGAAACTAGAAATGCTTACATTAGGGCCCAACTTTTAGTTTCTTATTTTCTTTGGCATAAAAATACTTAAACTTTCATAACATTACTGGTTATGTTTGATTAGGGTTCTATTTAAATAGGCACAAGTTCAAGCAAAGCTTAGATTCTGCCTTTGACAATGTGTACTCAGAAAGGAGGCATTAAAAGGCAGATGTAAAATCACTTATAAAATTGCTATTTTTATTACACTCCCCATGTTGGTACTCTTCTACAGCTTGTGAATAGGCAATTTCTTTACTTTAAGTATATTCAGTAACATGTCAAACTAATACAAGAAAAAAAAATTATCCAGATATTTCCACCCAGAGATGACATAATATAAACCAAGAATATGTGACCATTGCCTTTAATCTGTTAGTGTCACATGTAAGGAATTATGTAAATTGTGCTGAAACTGTTAATATTCTAATACAGTAACCAAAATGGAAGGAAATTCCTTCACATAGCACGTCTTTGTATTAGTGTCCAGTTACTTTCAGGCACTGGAAGGGGCAAATTCAAAAAACTTTTCAAATTCCTTTCTCTAAGAAGAGCCTCCTATATCAAAACAGGTAGAACATGTACTATATGCAAATTTTGTACCTGGAAAACTCCCATGTTATGACTTTATCATTCTCTTTTTCATTCATTTATATTGTTTCTCAAACACATAAGGCATTTTACTAAATAAAGTACTATAAGGGATACAAATTAAAAAGTTATAGATCTTGCCCATAAACTGCTTATAGTGCAACAGAGAGAAGCTGGCCGATCTCAATTTCCCCTCAACTAGAAGGTGGATTAAACATCAGGGAAGATAGTTTTAAGCCAGAAAAGTAGACAGTTTAGTTAAGAGAAGTTTTGAAATATGCCCTCATGACCAGTGATCACAACACTAACTTTTTCCTTTAAAAAAGGAGAAAATTCAAATTTCTTCACTAGTTCTACATACACTTTAACACTGGTGAGGGTAAGATGAAAATGAAAAAGAAGAAACTTTTTTATTTTTCTTCTTTATAAGTGGAAGTATTTATATCTTTTTATTTACTTGGATTCTTTATTTCTCTTACAAAGAGAAATATTTATATGGTTCTCTATTAAACACTTTAAAACAAGGTATACACAGGCTAAACAAAAGACATAATTCCTTCTATCTACCAAGATCCGAGACCAAAATGCAGAAAACCTAAATTTTAGCAAAATTTCTCAACATCATCTTAACATGAGATTAGATAATATTCATCAATAAAATATTACAGTATGGGCATAAATGCATTGATTAATTCTAATTACCAACAAGTAACTAATATATAATATTATGAGTATTTACTTTACACCAGATAGTGTTCTGTTCTTTAAAAATTTTAATTCTTAATCTTCATACAATCCTATAACGTAGGTATTACCTTCACTTGACAGACAAGAAAATGGAGGTACGGAAAAGCCAAATAATTTGACCAAGAGTTACAGAGCTGAAGAACAGGACAGCCAGGATTCCAAGTCAGCCTGCCTCTCTCCAGAATCATACTCAAAACCACTATGGTATACTACCTGACTGCAGCTATTACATCCGAAAGCCCTTACTCCTAAATCATCAAAGGAAAGTGTCTCTATTGTATACCACGAGGAGGCATTTCTAAGCATAGAAATTTGGAAATGGCTCATTTTATAGTTTTGCTTGACAATTCACAATTTAAACTAAAATTCATTATGTTAAAGCTTTCCACTTTGCAAAAAAGCCATTAACTTTATTTAAAAATTTTTTTCAGATAGGCCTGATTAAACACACATACACCAGTTCAAAGGTTGTTTACATGTGATATAATAACTAACATTTGAGTACTTCCTATTTGCCAGACACTGTTCTAAGTGCTTTACACATATCATTTAATTCTCATAACCCTATTAAGTATGTACTACACCCCACCTTACAGATGAGAAGGCTGGGCAGACGGAGGTTAAGTTTCTTGTCCAAGGCCAGACAGCTAGAGCTGGCTGTTGGACATAGATGACAGTCTGATTCCAGAACCCACACTCTTTTAACAATTATATATTAATTTATCAAGATAAGGCATTTTAAAGAACTTATTATTTTCTCAAAAAGTTCTCAATGAGCACTCAAGAAGGATAATCAGGGAACCTGGGTGACTCATTCAATTAAGTGTCGGACTCTTGATTTCCACTCAGGTCATGGTATCAGGGTTGTGAGATCCAGCCTTGTATGGGGCTCTGCGCTGGGTGTGGAGCCCGCTTAAGATTCTCTCTCTCGCTCTTCCTCTGCCCCTCCCCATCCTACTTGTGCAAGCGCATGCACACTCTCTCTCTTAAAAAAAGTATAATCAGCTATAATTTAACTGAAGCATTTAGTATTTTCACTTTTAACACTAAGTTAGAAGCAAAGTAGAACATTTATTTTTGAACATACTATTAATTTGTTGGTTTTGTTAAGTTTATATTACCAAAATTGTTACCAAGCTCACAAAATTCAGAAAAACCTGAAACAGGTAAATTGTTTCAGACATTGGAAGTATGTAATTCTAGTCTGACTTTAGAAGATCACCTAATCTATTGGTCTTTCAGGGGGCACATGGAAAAGAGGTTAGAACATAAACACAGATTGTATATAATAGAGAAAGGGAGTGAGATACCTTGTATGAGATTTTGTGAGAATATACAAATATGGTTAGGAAAGATCATCTGAAGCAAAAAGACATACCAACAATTACAGTGACAAGTAATAAGGAATACATAATCATATGTTAGCTTATACAAAGTAGCAGGAGAAGGCAGGCTTGAGAGCCATTAATGCCACTTGAAGAAGTGGTGGCTGGCTTCACAGAGAACCCATTTCTGGGAATAGGCTGCTGTGTCCAAATAACTAAAATACAATTTGGGAAATGCATACTTAATTCATTAACTTTCCTTAACCTTAATGTGAATTTACCAATCAAAAGAGTTTGTCTATTGTAAATCTCTTTTAAAAAAAGAAATTAATATAAGCTTTTAAAAACAGGTAGGTCAGGGTGCCTGGGTGGCTCAGTCATTAAGCGTCTGCCTTCGGCTCAGGTCATGATCCCAGGGTCCTGGGATGGAGCCCCACATCGCATCGGGCTCCTTGCTCAGCAGGAAGCCTGCTTCTCCCTCTCCCACTCCCCCTGCTTGGGCTTCTCCTCTCGCTTTGTCTCTCTCTGTCAAATAAATAAATAAAATCTTTAAAAAAAAACCAAAAAAACAGGTAGCTCTTGCAACCCTGAAACTGGAGTTTGTAACACTGCAAAATTAAATACATTAACAACTTAAAATGACCTAATAAGTTAATTGCTCACTTCTTTGATTTCATTTAGCACTGATCTAACTCAATGTAGAAGGTTACATTCGTACAACTTTACACAGCTTAATGATTAACTATATTCGCCTGCCAACCTTACTGCTCATGTGGCAAATCGTGGTATATCTGGGGTTGCAAAGTCTAGGTCTGCTTACAGGAGAAAATTAGTTGAATAATTAGGATAAAAATGCACACAATTAAGCTCTTTCTTTTTATCATTCCTCTAGTTATTTCTTCCAAAATTGACCAGGACTATTCATCATATGATTCTATGTCTCCAGAGCCAAAATCAAGATTTGCTATGTTAGATGATGTAAAAATTTTAGCCAATGGCCTCCTTCAGTTAGGACATGGTCTTAAAGACTTTGTCCATAAAACTAAGGGCCAAATTAATGATATATTTCAAAAACTCAACATATTTGATCAGTCTTTTTATGACCTATCACTGCAAACCAATGAAATCAAAGAAGAAGAAAAGGAACTTAGAAGAACTACATTCAAACTGCAAGTCAAGAATGAAGAAGTGAAGAATATGTCACTTGAACTCAACTCAAAACTTGAAAGCCTCCTAGAAGAAAAAATTCTACTTCAACAAAAAGTGAGATATTTGGAGAAGCAATTAACCAATTTAATTAAAAATCAACCTGAAATTCAGGAACACCCAGAAGTAACTTCACTTAAAGTAAGTAGAAATCAAAGAGGGTTCATGATTATGTTTCCAATGTGGATCTTTTTAAAAAATATTTTAAAACATGCTACTTTGTTGAATCATTGAAATACTATACTTTTCTCAAGGAAAAAAAGCCTCTAGGAAATAAAATTTCCCATTATAATTTCAAGTTGGTTTTTCTGATTCCCTAACATTATATCTAAAAACAACTAAACTTTACATTTCAGATAAAAATTACAAACCAATTAGAACACTAAATTATTACAGTATTGCAAATTACTGGAGGCAAGTAAAGTTAAAGAATATAATTTGAAACTATCCTCCCATGTTTAAAATGGATAAAAATAAAAAAATGAAGTAAAAATAAAATGGATAAATGTAATAAGTAAACGGTAAAAGATTAAGTCCTATTAAAAAACTGGGTTGTTTTTTTTTTCCATTTAACTGAAGTACTTTGAAGTTCAGGAAATTAGGTTTTAGAGATGGTACATTTTAAAACATAAAAACAAAAGGATTTCAAAGAAGCATATAAGAGAACATTGCCAATATTCAGTTATCTAATCCAATATTAGTTTTAAAAATTTAGATTGTGTTATAAAAAATAAAAAAGTCTAATTTAACAAGAGAAAGAGAAGAGAAATAAGAAAGATAAACTTCTAACCACCCTACAATCTATGTCCAGACTTTTGTAGAACAGCAAGATAATAGCATCAAAGACCTTCTACAGACTGTGGAGGAACAATATAGACAATTAAACCAACAGCATAGTCAAATAAAAGAAATAGAAAACCAGGTAAGTCAATATTTTAATGGTATATCCAATCTTTTATATAAAATCTAGGCTTATGAAAACATTAAACCCTAAATTTATTTTTAAAACTTATAGTTGGATAATGAGTAAACAGATCACATCAGCATGATTGTTAAAACTGTAGACTGTGAAGCTAAGAAACTACCTGGGTTTGAATCTTGGCTCTAACTTTTGTGTGACCTTGAATAAATTACTTAACCCTTCTGTCTCTCAGTTTCCTCACTTATTCTATCAAGAAAATAATAGAACCTATCTTATCGGAGTGTTGTTAGAAAAAAAAGAATTAACTCATGTAAAGTATATCTTTGATATGATTCTATCAAAACTCAAAATTAGGGATGCCCGGGTAGCTTAGTCAGTTAAGCGTCTGACTTTGGCTCAGGGTCGGGCTCCCTCGGCCCCTCCCCCTGCTCATGCTCTCTCTCAAATAAATAAATCTTTAAAAAAAAAAAAAATTTTAAAGTCAAAATTAGATCATGTCTCTCTTTTGGCTCAAAACCATACAATGGCTTACCATCTCACTTCCAGTGGCCCATAAGACCCCAGATGACTCTTATCTCTGACTTCATCTCCGCAACTCTAGTCATACTGGGGTAACTCTTCCCAGTTACACATCAAACATGCTGCTGTCTCAGGGCCTTTGCCCTTGTTCCCTCTATCATCCAGGGGAAGAATGCTCTTCTCCCTGGGATCTGCCTGGCCCACTCTCATTTCCTTTAGGTCTTTGTTAAGTATAAAATTCTCAGTGAAGTCTTACTAGGTCACTTAATCAAAACTTACAATTCCCAAACCCATCCTTAAAACCTGTTACCTCCTTCATCACTCTCCTTTTTTCCTTTACACTTATCTCTATTTCACATAATATGTATATTTTAGTTATTTGTCTGTCCCCTCACTAGAATGTAAACTCCATAAGAACAGGGATTTTCCTCATTTTTTCATTGCTGTTGCCCTAGAATATAGAATACTGTCTGAGACATAGTAGGAATTCAATAAATATATGTTGAATTAATAAAGTTAGTATCATATTCAACACAAAGAAGTCAATAAAAGCTTGCTATTATTAGTAATATTAGAAACTGTGTACCTGATAATTAAAGTTCAATATCCAACAGTATAATTAATCTACAATGTAACCCATAAATAATCTACCAGTGTAGGTGAGGGAGATACCTATTTAGAATAAAGCTATGTGAGAACCTAACATTTCAAAAATATTAATTACTAATACTATGAAACAGGCACTCCAGAGGGTTCCAAAAATAATACAAATTTGGAGAAACTTGTAAAAAAAATAGTTGCCAAGAATTATAAAACAATTTCCACTATACAAACATATCGTTGTATGTTTCAGAAATTTTATAACTCATAATTTCAGGTTATTTTTTGCTAATTATGAATGATAGTTTAGTAGGTTATTTTCTTATTTTTGCTAATTATCCAAAAGGGGTTTTTGCCAATTAGTTTTGATTTCCATAACGTCCTCATTACATTATTTTTCTAAATTCTTTTTTCTTATATCTTTTATTATGGTTAAGTGAGCCTACTCACAAAACAAAATGTCACTATTATCAAATGATATACATCCTTTCTAATAATAAAATGTCTGAAGAATTCAAAACAATGAATATCTGAGTTAAAAGAAGCCTCAGATCATCTGACCCACGTTCCTCAAATTTCAAGTAATAATCTTGAAACTCTGTAAGTTAAGTGTCTTTAACATCATACAGTTACCTCAAAGAAAAGGCTAATATCCAGAAAATGAACTCTGCAACAGATCCTTATAAGTAAGGTCACAGGAAATGCCGACATCAAAAAACACTATTAAGATATTACATAATCTGTTTTTCTTAGGCCATCAATAAGCTATCAGTCAATAAATTGCAAACCCAGCACATTTTGCATAAAAATAAACTGTTATTGCTAAACATTGCTAAAACTTGCAATGAAATATTAAATGCATTGAAAGTAAGCAAATAAGCCTGCCAATTTGTTACTTTTGCAGGTATGTTTACATTCCAGAAAACTATTAAAAAAGCAGCCTTTTTCAAAAAAAAAAAAAAAAGAGGGCGCCTGGGTGGCTCAGTTGGTTAAGTGACTGCTTTCGGCTCAGGTCATGATCCTGGAGTCCCGGGATCGAGTCCCACATCGGGCTCCCTGCTCAGCAGGGAGTCTGCTTCTCCCTCTGACCCTCTTCCCTCTTGTGCTCTCTATCTCTCATTCTCTCTCTCTCAAATAAATAAAATCTTAAAAAAAAAAAAAAAGAAAGAAAGAAAGCAGCCTTTTTCAAATTACGTGCTGGGTCTTTAAGACAGGTCTGAAACTCAATCAATAAGGCCTACAACTGAGAATTATAAAGCTTAAAATCTGCCTGTTGGTGAATAGAATAGATATTCTACTCATATAAATGAACAGAACATATTAAAAATGCTAATAAGCAGTCTTTACCTTTGGTCTTACTCTTTTTTGACCAATTTCTGATTTGTGCTTTGCTCTCTTTCTTTCTCTAGTTTAACTCATTAAATAATGTGCTTGATTAAGTATTTTGAGAACAGTTATGTGTACAATCTGTATGTCACTGCTTAACTGTTTTAACATCAAAAGCAATAACATATTATGAACTTAAAGATATATACAAGCTGTACTTTTTTTTTCCTAAGATTTTATTTATTTATTTGACAGAGAGAGACACAGCGAGAGAGGGAACACAAGCAGGGGGAGTGGGAGAGGGAGAAGCAGGCTTCCCGCTGAGCAGGGAGCCTGATGCGGGGCTCGATCCCAGGACCCTGGGATCATAACCTGAGCCGAAGGCAGACGCTTAATGACTGAGCCATCCAGGCGCCCCTACAAGTTGTACTTTTAATATCCTCCCTCAGATTCCCCTAACTGTATATTCAGTACCATTTTTAAAAGATTTATATTCTTTCATCAGCTAAGAAGAACTGGTATTCAAGAATCCACAGAAAATTCTCTTTCTTCTAAACCAAGAGCACCAAGAACTACCCTCTTTCTTCACTTGAATGAAACAAACAATGTAGAACACGATAGTAAGTTAATTTGTTGGGTTTCTTTCTTGAAGGTATTTTATCATCAAATTTTTCTATCTTAGACATTCCCATCAAAAATTGCTGTTCTCAGGGCCTGTTCTTAAACTATAAGAGAGTAAAGAGACAAATCCACCAAATACAATGTGTCAACCTAAATTGGATCCTGACAGGTTTGTTTGTTTGTTTGTTTGTTTTAACCATACAAAACACATTCTTAAGACAATCAGGAAAATATAGATGTAGACTTGATATTAGATAATATGACATTATTTTAAATTTTCTTAGATATAATAATGGTATTATAGTTATGTATGAAAATAATCTCATGTTTAAGAGATACAAGCTGAAATATTCAAGGGGTTAAGGGTCATAATGTCTGGAAATTACTTTCAAATAGCACAGCAAGATACATATTTGTATACACGTATACTTATGAAACAAAAATGGCAAAAGATTAACAATTACCGAATACAGATGGAAAGACTATGAAGTTCTCTCTAATGTTTCTACTTTCCTGTTGAAAATTTTTATTTAAAAAAAAACCACAAAGATGAAGGAACAAAGTCTCCATTCCCAACCGAACATTCACAAAATAATACTTTCAAAATACATTTACTTATATGTAATTCACACACACACACACACAAAAGGTCTCTGTAAGTTTCTTCTTGTATGTTTACTCTTTCCACATACACCTATTAAGTGCTATGCACACCAAGCACTATAATAATGTCTCATATGTGGCATTATATTTATATTCTTCCTATATCTAGCAAAAATATGTGTCTAAAATTCTCATTTTGTCACTTTTCCTAAAAACAAATCAGTTTAATAATAATTATTTTAATATTGTTTGCATAACATGCCATCTAATAAATCTGCTTCAGTATAAAGTACTTTCTTGGTAATATATTACTGAAAAAGCCTAAGGGCTACATTCACCACAATTCCATAAAATGTCAAGTAAAAGCTCAAGCTCTAAAGATACCATTCCTGTTACTATATCTTATGTAATAACACTTTCTTGATTCTAGACATTCCTGCTAATTGTACCACCATTTATAACAGAGGCGAACGTACAAGTGGCATCTATTCCATTAGACCCAGCAACTCTCAAGTTTTTAATGTCTACTGTGATGTTAAATCAGGTAAAACCAGCCTGAAGAGAAAATGGACTGTAATTAGCTCAGGTTATTGACTACCTATTAGTAAGACTAATCCTATTATCTTTGTTCTGAATATATGTAAATGAAATATAAGTAACATGAGTAGTTGCATAGCTCTAGTACTTATATTTGCCTTGTTTATTTTTGTATTTACTCATGCAGTTACTCAATATTCTCCATCTTTTTCCAGAAAGTAATCTGAAATTATTATTGTTAATAAGTTTATTAAGATAGATTCATTAGTTGCCCTTTACTTAACTTCTTGGGACCATAATAAATAATAAAATGGTATTACCATATGATATTAATGACATTACACAACCACCAATTAAAATCAAAACAAGGGGCACCTGGGTGGCTCAGTCAGTTAAGCGTCTGCCTTTGGCTTGGGTCACGATCCTGGGGTCCAGGGATTGAGCCCTGCATCAGCTCCCTGCTCACCAGGGAGTCTGCTTCTTCCTCTCCTCCCTGCTTGTGCTATGTCACTCTCTGTCGTTCTCTCTCAAATAAATAAATAAAATCTTTAAAATAAAATAAAATAAAAACAAGAAAACAGTATTTTGGGGCACCTGGGTGGTTCAGTCGGTTAAGCATATGCCTCCGGCTCAGGTCATGATCCCAGAATCCTGGGATCAAGCTTCATGTTGGGCAATCTGTTCAGCAAGGAGCTTGCTTCTCTCTTGCTTTCTCTGTCTCCCCCCGTCTCCATCTGACCCATCCCCAGCTTGTGCTCTCTCCCTCTCTCTTCCCCTCTCAAATAAATAAACCTTTAAAAAAAAACAAAAACAGCATTTTGTTACATCTGTCAGCGTCAATCTACTTAAAATACACAATTTTGTTCATTATATTCAGATAGTTCATGGACATTAATTCAACACCGAATAGATGGATCACAAAACTTCAATAAAACCTGGGAAAACTACAGATATGGTTTTGGGAGACTTGATGGTAAGGTGACTTCATTCATTCATTCATTCATTCACTTGTTAACTTAAAAATATTTACTGGGAATCTATTTTGGATTGGGCATTAGGAATGCAAAAATGCAAAAATGAATGAGGAATAGGCCCAGCCTTATTAGAATTTATTAACTAATAATCATATAACTGTTAGTAATTTACAGTTATTACAAGCATCTATTTGAATTATACTTAATCACAATTTCATGTCCGTTCTTAAGTATATGTATCACAATTTAATTCGATGGCTTCTAATGATCATAATTATAATAATTAAAGATAATTATGATTAAATGCTATGTGCTCTGATAAGTGGTAAATGCTAAGAATGAGCTATGAAGAAAACCATCCTTATCACTGGCCACTCCTTTTTTAACATTTTTAATATTAATATTTGGAAGGTGGAAGGAACAAGGAAACTGTCAGAGGTACAGTACAAAATGTTTAAATCTCAACTGTTTAAATATTATAAATGTATACTATAGAAAATGTGATTTAAAATAAATGAGTTAAATCAAAAACTAATGATGTAATGTATGGTGATTAACATAACAATAAAAAATTATTTAAAAAAATAAAATAAAATGAGTTAACTCAGTACAATTATTATATTTTAATCACAAAATAAAATAAGCAAAACAAAAATAAATAACAGAGGTTTAAAAATCCAAAAGGCACATTATAAAAATTCACAAATATAAGTACTCATTTATAAACAGGAAAACATCCATTATTACATCAAATTTTTTATTAAACAGTACTATTTGATCATTTAAAAATTTTTATATTCAAACTACTAGTTAATTCCCTAACTAAAAGGTATATTCGGTGCTATGTTTTGCAGATCCAAATCTTCTAAGAGTTAGTGTAACTCTAAAATAAAAGGCTGACTGTTAAATCCAGAATACTCATTTATTTCTACAAGAAAATAAGACATTTGTACTTGAAATCCCTAAAATTGTCATCTAATTCAATAGCAATAAAAGTTTGACTTTTTTCCTTAAACACTTTAATAGAAAGGATTGTGATAATTAAAAAGAAATCTATTTGTATTTATGTTGTTTTTAATTCCAAATAAAAATAATTTTTAAGATTAAAGAGAAGTTATTAAGAATTATGTTTTTTAATTTAAAATGTCTAAAAAATTTATTCCCTTATTTTTCTACAAAGAAAACATATCAAGCAAATATCAAAGGCCAAGACTATATTTGAAGAAAATGACACTATTATCATCCAAGTAATACTGGATGTAATAGTACAAATACTTAACAAACCGTTCGATAGTATATGGGTATTAATAAATTCCTGATAGTAAAGCCAGTACACATAAGGACTTAGAAATGAGATAATATTTTACCAATGACCAGATCTAAAATATCTATAATTGCCTAATATGTTTCGCCCATGAAATATGTCTCAAAAAAATGATAATCATACTTTAGGCAGGCTTATTAATATTTTTAACATTTTTTGTACATTTCACTATCTTCAATAAAATTGTTTTAAAAAGAAATATTTTAAGAGACTCTAAAATAACCAAGGGATTCGGAGCGCCTGGGTGGCTCAGTTGGTTAAGTGACTGCCTTCGGCTCAGGTCATGATCCTGGAGTACCTGGATCGAGTCCCGCATCAGGCTCCCTGCTCAGCGAGGAGCCTGCTTCTCCCTCTAACCCTCCCCCCTCTCATGTACTCTCTCTCTCTCTCTCATTCTCGCTCTCTCAAGTGAATAACCAAGGAATTCTAGGCTAAAAAATAAATAACCAAGGGATTCTAGGCTAAAACAACTCAACTGACTTCAATAAAAAAACAAGTATCCAAAAAAAAAAAAAAAAAAAAACCTGTTGGTACCTAATCTGCAGTTAACAAACCGCAGATTTTTACTCTCTTTTCAGGAGAATTTTGGTTGGGTCTAGAGAAGATATACTCCATAGTAAAGCAATCTAATTACATTTTACGAATTGAACTAGAAGACTGGAACAACAACAAGCATTATATTGAATATTCCTTTCACTTGGGAAGTCATGAAACCAACTATACGTTACATCTAGTTGAAATTAGTGGCAACGTCCCCAATGCACTCCCGGAACACAAAGATTTGGTGTTTTCTACTTGGGATCACATGGCAAAAGGACATGTCAACTGTCCAGAAAGTTACTCAGGTATCATTTTCCTAGTATCAATACTTCATTTTCATATCTACAAAATATCTTCCAAAAGTATTAGCTAATACCTACAATGTCAACTCTTTTAAAACTGAATCCTAAATAAACATTTTCTCTATAGGTAAAAACCTCTTAAAATAACTATTAATTTGATTCTAGTTCAACTTGATATTTTACCTACAACCTTTCTCACGTATTTTATTTTGGGTGATATACACAAGACTTATACAGATTATTTAAAAGTGGGATACATGCATTATGCATACAATACTATCATATTTGTAAGAAGTGAAGATGTACTCATGGGGAAATGTGGTAACAGTAACTAGATGAGTTTGTATTCATGAAATGCCCTATCTATCTTCTTTAGGAGGCTGGTGGTGGCACAATGTTTGTGGGGAAAACAACCTGAATGGTAAATATAACAAGCCAAGAGCAAAAACTAAGCCAGAGAGGATAAGAGGAATATGCTGGAAGTCTCCAAATGGAAGGTTATACTCTGTCAAATCAACTAAAATGTTGATCCATCCAACAGACTCAGAAGGCTCTGAATGAACTGAGACAAATTAAAAAGCCAACAAATTAAACATTAAACTCATCTGAAGTTACTGTGGTTTCAGAATCTGGTATTAAATCCCTAACAGAAACCTTCAGAAATAGATTCTTTTTAAAGTCACTATCAAGTTAAAAGTAAACATATCGTCAAATCACCTCAAAGAATACCATTTATCTTTCCCAATCAAAATTCTTATGGTATCATTTATTCATATGTTTTGTGATGTGAGAACCAATTTTTATGTAGTCACAATCTGAATTTTACCCAATGGGTGAATTATTAAGTCATTTTTTAATAAAAAATTTACAAGGACTGGGGCGCCTGGGTGGCTCAGTCGTTAAGTGTCTGCTTTCAGCTCAGGTCATGATCCCAGGGTCCTGGGATCGAGCCCTGCATCAGGCTCCCTGCTCAGCGGGAGGCCTGCTTCTCCCTCTCCCACTCCCCCTGCTTGTGTTCCCTCTCTCGCTGTGTCTCTCTCTGTCAAATGAATGGGTAAAATCTTTAAAAAAAAAAAAATTTACAAGGACTTTTAAGTCATCATGTAGCCTAATTTCATAACTTGCTCAGCTTAAAAAATTAATTTTCTTGCTAAAATTCTGAACTTGAATAAACTAAAAGACTGATAATAGTTCCTAAATGCTGCAATATTATTAATTTCAAAATTAAAATTCAGTCAGTTCAGAGTACATATGAAAATCTATTAATACTAATTTTAAACTGATGCTTCATTTTGCTACCAAATAATCTGAAATAAATGTTTGGTATGCTTTATTTATGAAGTCAAATGAAGCAGGATAAAATACTGTGTTAAAAGAGGTTAACTGTCTTAAACAAATACAGTAGATCATGATTACTAGGTCATATTGACCTTAATATCAAGCATCACTGTATCTTAACATATTTGTTAACTTATCTATATACTGTATATCTTTTATATATTTTAACACTTAATATTTTGAAAACAATTTTAAAGGGATCTTCTCAGAATATAATGAGAATGAAAGCATCTGTGGCCTCAAGTTTAATAATTTATTCCCCCTGGACATGGTATGAGTCTAATACTTATGTGTAGGTTGTCAAATAGAAGTAAAAATCATAACAAGTTATTGAATGTTTAAATAGCCTGACAGATGTGTATGTATGTTTCCAAATTCAATAAAGACTCACTCCCTTAAAATATAGAAATTTTAATTCTTATAGTTTTTTAATGACATGTAATAAAAGAATGATTATATTATTTCTAATTTTAAAAATTTGAATTCTAACCCTCAAGGATTACTAAATACAAATCTTTTGATCATAAAAAATATCACTTAACAGTATTTATTTTTTAAATAAGTTTTTTAAAGAAACTACCAAATAGAAATAAAATTTTGAATTAAATCTAGTTTTTAAAGAATATAGTACCTAAGTTATATAGTGACTCACCTTAGTCAAAAAATATTCAGCATTATGTATTTTAAATTACTCAATGTCATTTTTTTTACATATATGACATGTTAAATAGGTATGATCTATGTGGATCCTACACAAATATCTTGTTCCAATAAAGTACAAAAGAGTAAGTTTTAGCTTTTAAAACCACAGCCAAACTGTCAAAATTGACTTTTTAGAGCCAGAATACCATAATGACTTTTTTTCCAAAAAAACCTGGAAGCTTTCAAATACAAAATAATGCATTATTTAATATACCAATTGCTTCTTCTATTTGTTCTCCAGTTTTTTAGAATTCTTACACAACATGTTTCATTTTGTTCCTTTTAGGAGTACTGAGTTTTTTCTGTATAAAATATGCTCAGATTGAGAGATAATTCTGGTAGAGAAAGGATTTTTTTTACGATTCACAAATTGTGTCCTTCTGTCCTCACTCCTTTGCCAAGTATTCTAATTACACCACTAACTCACAATTGTCTAATTTAATGCCCTTTCCTCAGTCCACATTCTCTTGGATCTCCCCGCTAACTTACTAATAAACAATATTCCTTTTTCAAACTTGACCCTTATTTTGCTTCCACACTATGACTATATTCTCCAAGGATTATCCCTAACCTGAATACATTTTTATAGCCCTATTCCCTCCTAGTATGTGACATATTTGGGCCAATGCACAATCTTCAAAAATCTCTTCCACTCTCATCCTCAGAAATTCTATCTACTCTCACGGACTCGTCTATGTTCCATGAGTAAAGTTCCCAAATTTACATATTATTCCCAGATCTCTCTCCAGTTCCCCTTCTTACATTGCCTATCTGCCATGCCTCCTTTTGATATCCTACAGTCTCCTCAAATTCAACATATCAAATAAATTCATCAAAGCCCTGCCACCTCTGCTGGTCCTTCCCCCATTTCTACACCCCATCACACTCTTCCTTGCCTCTGTGTACCCATTAATGGTACCACCACACTTCCAGTCATCCAAACTTAAAACCTGGGAGACATCTCGGCCTTTTTACTTAACTCTGCGAACCACTGCTCCTGTATCATAAGCCACTATATTGAATACAATCTTCTTTTGAAAAGACTGCTAATATGATATGCTTTCTACCCTACCAAGGCCTGCTCTTAACCTGAATTTTAAACTATCTGAATAGTCTCCTGCCTGGTCTCCTAATAGGTCTATCTTCCTTCAATTTTCCTAAAACAAATTTATAATGGCTACATACTACTTTGACCTGTGTCATTCAAATGTGTCTATTAAAAGAGTAGAACAGCTTGAGGATACTGACAACATATCTTTACAATTCTAGAGTTAGAGGATGAAATGGCTTTATATAAGCCCATACTTCTTTCAGGATCTTATTAGGATTTTACCTTAAATCTTACAATTTATCTTAAAATTGCATTTGAATTGTGTTTTCTACTCTATAAATCTTCATTTATAAATAGTTATTTCCTCCCCAAATCTTCTAAAAAGTGATATTCCAGGAAGGTGTGTTATATTTATCCTGTGGACCTGCATACCCTATACAGCAAGAATGTGTACCCCAATTTGAAGGGCAGAAGCCTACAGAAAACATCCAAATCTCTTCCAGATATTCAAGAGTTTGTATAATCTGACCCCAAATTACCTTTTGTTTTTTTAAAGATTTTATTTATTTATTTGATAGAGAAAGACACAGGGAGAAAGGGAACACAAGCAGAGGGAGTGGGAGAGGGAGAAGCAGGCTTCCCACTGAGCAGGGAGCCCGATGTGGGGCTTGATCCCAGGACCCTGGGATCATGACCTGAGCCGAATGCAGACACTTAACGACTGACCCACCCAGGCACCCCCCAAATTACCTTTTTTACCATTTCTTGCCCAACACAAACCCTTAGCTCTTATCATAATTACCTACTTTTAAACATCCCCTGTATACTTTCCTAATGCCATTCCATTCGTCTAGAATGCCTCTATACACCTTTCTACTTGGATAGCTCCTATTCATACTTGAAGGTATAAATGATCTCACTTCCTCTACAAACATCCTTGTAAATGGGGCTCCTCCCTCTAAAACCATGCAGCAGTACTGTCTGTACCCCTCAACTGGCACTTAACAAATGAAGACAGAAAAGTATATATGGCAAATCACAACAGAAATTGTTAAAAAGAGGGGCACCTGGGTGGCTCAGTCATGAAGCATCTGCCTTCAGCTCAGGTCATGATCCCAGGGTGCTGGGACCGAGCCCTGCATTGGGCTCCCTGCTCAGCAGGAAGCCTACTTCTCCCTCTCCACTCCCCCTACTAGTGTTCCCTCTCTCGCTGTGTCTCTCTCTGTCAAATAAATAAAATCTTAAAAAAAATTAAAAAAAGAAATTGTTAAAAATAATAATAAAAGCGGGCGCCTGGGTGGCTCAGATGGTTAAGCGTCTGCCTTCGGCTCAGGTCATGATCCCAGGGTCCTGGGATCGAGTCCCGCATCGGGCTCCCTGCTTCTCCCTCTGCTTCTCTCTCTCTCTCTCTCCTCCTCTGTCTCTCATGAATAAATAAATAAAATCTTTGAAAAAAAAATAGTAATAAAAGCTCCAAGAGCATCAAAAAGATAGTCTATCTCCTTGATTTGAGTAAATCACTGCCAAATTTCTATACCAAGAGTTCAATCTGAGCCAGTGTAAATTTTACTGAGAGCAAGTATACACATTTCTCATTTTGGGGTTACCTATTTTTGTATAACCTGTTTATTCTCTGTCATTCTATAATCAGCATGTTCTCATGCTTGTATCTTTTCTTCCTAATTGCATAACTCATGGAAATCAACTAGCTTGTTCATTAATCAAAAATATTTGCACTAAACAGTATTTGAGTTCCTACTATTTGCCTCCTTTATAAAACCTATTCCAAATATGCGCTGTTACATATTTCACATTCTGTTATAAAATAATCAAATTTCCTTGTGATTTTTCCCATCACTAACAACCATAGCACTGCGCTGATGTATGTACTCCTAAGTGATCATCCAACACAGTAGTTTTGAAAATAAAAAAAAAGGACCAAACGGTTGGTCCTCTTATCAAAGTCCAAAGTGTTCTCACGGCAAATCAACTAGGACAAAATTACTCAATTGGTGTGAAATGTTGAGTTCAAGGTCATGAAAGTAGGATTAACAACCTCCCACAGTGTGCCTTTATAAAATCAGGTTTCAATGACATTTTAGAAAATATAAAATCAAGGATGCAATCTCAAACAGAAAAACTTTTTCTAAATTCATTTGTTTAACCCTGGGAACAATCACAGATCTAACAAAATGATTAGGTATATCTAAAAGAGTGATAATCTACAACCTTAAAGAGGTAAGGCTATAACTACTTATCTTCAAATAAGCAACTAAGCCTCAGTGTCTCCAAATCCCATATATGGGAATAATGATAATCTTGCCAAATCTACTTCATAGGGTTGTTGTAATCAAGTAAAATAGGGTATTTGAATGGTTTTATGAACTATAAAATTCTAAGCAAATGTATATACTTGTAAAAACTAGATCTTGGATATCACTCCACATCGCTTTAAGTATGTAATGTGTACAAATTTTTCCAAACTAAAAATATTCTAATTCTCATGACAGAACAAAACTGCTCTCCTATTCTGCTACCATTCCTGGAACTTTACTCCCTCCCTCAGAGTCTGAGATAATACTCCTCACATTCAAATACAAGCCCCTAACTAAAAATTAATGGGTGGCTATGTAAAAATGTTAGGAAACAGAGTTCTCAACTCAAAAACTTTTATAGTTAAAATAAAACTAGGATCAATTAAGATGGACTAAAACCTACAGTGATATATCTAGGGCAAAACCAGAACAGCAGAGTATGTAGCAATAGCTTGAGACACCCA